TGAACTGGGATACTAAAGAAAGCATTAGCTTAATCTATCACCGTAAAATAGGAGTTTTCTGGTTTCAATTGGTTCAGCAATGTATGTGGATCTGGTACACATGGAGCTCTGGGAATTATATTTCTATTAACCCCCTGCAAGTCCATGACCATCCTCCAGTCGGTGCTAGGTGCCGCCTTTTTAACAGGAAATACTGGAGAGTTGCATTGTGCCTCATCTCCAGGAATTATCACCCCTCCCTTAGGTAAATGCTCAAATGTAGGTGTTATCCCTTTTATTGCTTCTGGTTTCATAGGATATTGCTTTTGGTCTGTGATCGAATCGAGGAATCACTTGTACTGGAGCTACCCCCTTAATTAGTCCCACATCAGCTGGTCCTTGTGACCATAATTTGAACGGAATTGCTGCTAACTCATCCTCCTGTTCCTGAGTTAAGAAAATATCTTCCTGTCATTCGTTAAAACTTGTCTCCAGGTGGACCCCAGGCTGGGTTTTTGCTCTCCAATTCAACCTTCTTCTGTATCTTCCAGTGGAGTGGCTATACTGATCCCCATTTGGTGTATTCTGCCAGTCAGTGATGTTTTTCCCCTGTTTTACCCATTTACCTAGTGATACCCATTCCTCTGAAGGTTCTTTCACTAGGGCAACATGGGGGCCCCACCTTTCTCTGTACAGTCTCTGACTCTGTGGTCCCAACTCCACCTCTACAGCTGCATGTTTTCTATCATAGTGAACCCATTTTAACCCAATTGTTCTTTCTGTGGTTTTTAACAATTCTTCTTCATAATCTGGGTTAGGGCCCGGGTACTGGTCATCCCCTTCCTCATCATCTAACCACTCTCTCTTCCCTGGCTTATTATAGTCTTCTAATCTCTTCAATTCCCTGTGTTTAAACTCTCTATGTTTACTTTCTCTAGCTCTTCCTGCCTCTTTCTCTCTATCCAGCTCTACTCTTAGCCTGCCTATTTCCTCTCTACTTTCCCTGAGTTCTGTAATTTCCTTCTGTAAAACTTCCCCCTCTTTGTTCTCTTTACTGGCCTCCCTACTCTGCCCCCCCTCTTCCCGCCCTTCCAACATTCCGGCTTGGCCGTCATATGGTGGGGGAGGGACGGGGATCACTCCTAATTTTCTCCTACACATGACAACGTTATCATCTGGGCTTTCTTTCCAAGCCTGCTCTACCAAAACTGGATATAACCTTTCTGCTCTCTGCGCTGGGGGAGGCACTGAAATCTCAATTTTTATTTCCCTTTCTCTTTGCATATCTAATTATTTTTCCCTTTGTCCTTCCTCTCTCCTTCGCGCTTCCAAAAGCCATACCCTCGCTGTCTCTAGCCCCTCCCCTTGCTGTTTCTTCAAATCCGTTCCACAGTTTACATGCATCTGCTTAATCATAACTTCTAACTTCTCCACATCGAGATGACCAATAAATCCATACCGCTTCTCCCAAATGGATCCATAAAACATATTTCTTCGATCTCTTCCTAACATATATCTTTCATCCCCCGTTAATTATCGGACCGCTTTAGAATATTTATTTCCCATGGTGGAAAAATAAGAAATCCCCCCGTTTAGTAATAATTCAATCCAGAATTATTTTCCTGGGATTTATTATTAGGTGCGACTCTTGAGCCAATGTTATGATCTGCTTTTGTAATTAACCATTTAAATTATCTAACCCGTAACCCAGAGTTTGTTTTTTTTACTCCAGTTTCATGAAAGGGATCGGACAACCATTTTTTCTCACGCGACCTATTTTAGTTCCTTCCTTGAAACAATGATCACGTATTTCGATGGATCATTGAGTCTCACACGTATACAACATTATACGATTTTTTTCTAACACTATCCGTAACCTAGAGGTCGTAACTGCTCCAGTTTCATGAAATAGACGGAGTTAGAGCAAATCCCCAGTTGTTTATGCGACTTTTGACTTATCTATCTTACACGATGATAATTATCTCCCTTCCTGTTTATATTGTAACACTGTACCCCGTACAATCTCAATATTAACTAGTTTATTTTGGTGATGGCCATTCACCTTGAGTCATTTCAGACCCCCTTCCTTTTAATTATCTTATGAGATTTTGGTAACTATTCTCTGCCCTCCACAATAATTACTATTCTCATACAAGTTCAAATCATTTCACCAAAATCCATGAATAAAAATTACTGACCTTTTCCTTGCAGTTTGGATTTAAATGCTTTTTCAATCTCGTTAACGTCTTTATCGTTCATAAGATTAATCACCGGCCTGTTTATAACCTTAACGTCGAAGGCCAGGACTATTCTCCACGGATGCAATCACCCGCCCGTGCACGATTTCGGTGTCCTTAGAACAACAAAGACGTATTTTAGAGCTCCGCTCGAAGGACCACTTGTCATGAGAATTTCTATCTCTAATTCAACCTAAGCTTGAATCATTACCAGGGGTTGTAAGGCTCTGGTTTTAATCATAAATGATTCAAGGTCCACAACCAGCAAGAATGATCTGTGTTTTTATTCATGGAGAGCTCTGGCGCCCAAAACCCATACATACTGTTTTATACCCCTTGACACACAAAGGCACTTTGCTCCGCCCACCTTTAGGAGGCTTTCTTAAACAGTTTCCGCAGTCTCCTTCACTCTGGAATGTTTAGTCCTGCCCCCCTCTGTTAGTGGGTTGACACTACATTATAATTCTAACACCGTTTACACATTTATACTGTATTTGGGGTGAAATCCTTTAGTCATTATTCTTAAAATACAAATTAATCTATCACCCTGAAAGACCGCAATTGGATGAAATGTTTATTAGTTCTGACGTATGAAGATCAGATTGGTCATGCTTGTAAATACATTCATCCTAAGGGTGTAAAAATGTAGTCAAAGGGTGGACTGATAGAGGAATTATGATTATGACTAAAATTGTTAACCCCAATACTGATGATGACTGTGTGAACTGTGTTAGGGTTATCATTATGAACCCACTAACAGAGGGGGTGAGTTAGAAACTGCTGAGACAAACATTCCAGGGTGAAGGGGACTGAGAAACTGGTTAAAGGCCTCCTAAAGGTGGGCGGAGCAAAGTGCCTTTGTGTGTCAAGGGGTATAAAAGCTGTATATGTGTTTTTTGGCGGCAGAGCTCTCCATGATTAAACATACAGATCATTCTTGCCGGTTGTGGACATTTGTTTAATTCATGATTAAACCAGAGCCTTACACCCTCTGGGAATTATTCAAAGCATTAAGTTTGATTAATTAGAGATAGAAATTCTCGTGACACACTGGGAGACAAATTCACCTTTCAGCAGGACAATAACCTAAAACACACTGGAGTTGCTTACCAAGACGACATTGAATGTTGCAGAGTGGCCTAGTTACAGTCTTGACTTAAATCGGCATGAAAATGTATGGTAAGACTTGAAAACGTCTGTCTAGCAATGATCAACAACCAACTTGACAGAGCTTGAAGAATTTTGAAAAGAATAAATGGGCAAATGTTGACAATCCAGATGTGCAAAGCTCTTAGAGACTTACCCAGAAAGACTCACAGCTGTAATCACTGCTAAAGGTGATTATAATAATGTATTGACTCAGGGGTGTGAATACTTATGTAAATGAGATATTTATGTATTTCATTTTCACAAAAATTGCCAAACTATCTAAAAACATTTCATAAATTTGTCATTATGGGGTATTGTGTGTAGATGGTGAATAATTTCTTTAAAATCAATTTTGAATTCAGGCTTTAACACAACAAAACATGGAATAAGTCAAGGGGTATGAATACTTTCTGAAAACACTGTAGATGTCCTACTGCCATTAGTTGATATGATAAATAATACATTTCCCACATAGAATCACAATAGCCAAAGCAAAATATTAACTTTGATTGGTTCTTGCAAACTGACCCAGATAGATGAGACAGATTTATTGTCAATGTATCTAGCAAATCTGATATTTCAATGTCATAGAATGCCCATCCTAGATGGTTTAAACTTTAAAATGACTGATAGTGTTGGGCCCAACATGTGCCTGGAAGCTGAAACAGTGCACCCTCCCAAGCATATCTAATAGCACTGAAAAATTATTAAAACAAGTAATGTCTTGTTTTAAACATTCAACAGCACTGAATAGGTTAAAACCTAGAATAAACTTAAAGCTATCTTTTAGGGTTAGGCCTAAATCTATCAGCCCAATCCATTTTTATTCTATAAATTTACATTTTACATTTTAGTGATTTAGCAGACGCTCTTATCCAGAGCGACTTACAGGTGCAATTAGGGTTAAGTGCCTTGCTTGCGACAGATTTTTCACCTAGTCGGCTCGGGGATTAGAACCAGCGACCTTCCGGTTACTGGCACAACGCTCTTAACCACTAAGTCACCTGCCGCCCAACCATGAGGAACATCATTGATCAAAAGTGCAATGAAAGCACAGATAACATTAACATAAAACACATTTAAATGAAACTAGTTCAAACCTGTTGAACATAAAACCATAATGTGCGTGACCACGATAAAACTAATATAACCTTGCTTTTCGGCTTTTCAATTTCATAATAAACTAAATTAACAAATTGACAAATAATCAGATTTTGTTTTAAATACAATAAATGTAAATTCAACATTTCTCTTTTCTTTTTTTACACTACGTCATTCTCTCACAGCATGAACCTTCCAAACAAAAGCACGCCCAAATGTTTACACAACCAAAGCGTTGACACTTAATCAATCAATACATAAAAACATAAAAGAACAAGTCCTTCCAAATCACTTTCAGAATTCAAGCCCAAATTAAAAAAGGATTAAATGTATTTTTTTCCTCACCCAACTACACACAATATCCCATCAAAACCTATATGGCTGGGTTTTGAATTCACAAATGGAGAAAGAGTGCACTATTCCCAACTATGACACCCTATTCACATATAATGCACTGCTTTGGACCAGAGCCAGCATAGTGCACTATATAGCGAATAGGGTGCCATTTAAGACTCGTCCCCTCCACTGCCCTCTTTATCTGTCTTTGTGTATGGTCTTCAAGTGTTTCTTCAGATGGCCAGTCTGTTTGAAGTGCTTGCCACACTCGGAGCAGGTGTAGGGTTTCTCCCCGGTGTGGACCAGTTTGTGCCTCTTCAGATTATTGTAATCCAGAAATCCCTTCCCGCAGTATGAGCACCAGTGTCTCTTCTCCCCGTTGTGCCACCTCAGGTGAACATTCAGCTCCACACGCCTCTTGAACCGCTTCACACAGAGGGAGCAGGCAAATGGTTTCTCTCCAGTGTGAACGCGGAGATGCGTCTCCATGTCGCGCCGAATGGCAAAGCGTTTGCCACAGATCGGGCAGGCGAACGGGCGCACGCCGCTGTGGACCATCTGCTCGTGCTTGGTCAGGCCAAAGCGGTAGACGAAGGTCTTGCTGCACTGCGGACACTGGTGGCCCCGCTGGTTGCCGTGGACGCGGGCGTGGCGGTTGAGGCCCTTGAGGTTGGGGAAGTCCTTGCCGCAGGCGGAGCAGACGAACGGGCGCTTCCCCGTGTGGAGGGATGCATGGCTCTCTAAAGCAGCTGCGCTGCTCAGGACACGACCGCAGTCTGCGCACTGGTTCTTGGCCAGACGTTTCCGTGGAGACTGTTGGAGCTGGTACGGTGGCGACCACATCGGTTGTGATTGGCGGTACCACCGCGCCTGCTGGAACATCAGTGGGCTCTGAGGGGACTTTTTGAAGCCAGAGCGAAGGCTGCCAGTGAACGGGACAGGTTGAGGGGTGGAGGGAGACCGTTTCAAATGTAATGCTGCCGCAGCCACCAAACGAGGTCTTCCACGGCGAGGGGTGGTGGAAGTGACCTTGAACGGGTGAGGCTGTGGGTGAGGGGAGGTGGCAGGAGAAGGGTTCACGTTCGCCCCCGTAGCCTGGCGAGGGCTGGTGCGGCGTGGGCTGGGGGCACCGTGAGGGCTGGTGCAGCGTGGGCTGGAGGTGGAGGCAGTGCGAGGGCTAGGGCTGTACGACCGGCGGCGCTGTGGGGTGGAAGGCAGAAATGGTGTCTGTGTGACTAGACCTCTAAGCTCTGACTTAAGACCACGCTGTGAGGCCTTGGTGACCTTTGACCTACTCCTCTTAGCCTGGGCTAGGGCCAAACCTCTCTGAGCCTGCACCCAGGTCATGTTTCTCTTCTTGGATTCGGACAAGCCTCCTCCTCCACCAATAGGTGACTGTCTAGTCGGGGAGGTCACATCAGTGTTAGCTCCTCCCTCTTCCTCACTGATGACTTGGTTACTACTTCCTTGTCCAGTAGACTTGTCGTCAGCCGTCACACCGTTAGTGGTGTCCTCTACTACATCCTGGTCAACGTGTGATTCACTGGACTTTTCTCCTCCGTTCTGCATCACCTTTGAGTAGTCGTGGTCTAGAGGGGCGGTTCTATCTCCTCTGAGTTTCTTAGCAACCACGGGAGATGGGGTACTGTCCTGGGGGCGGGACCTTAAGCAAAGGCGGAGACCAGAGAGGATCGCTTCACGAGGACTTGACTTTCGGCCGCCGCCTACCTGGACAACAATCTCCTCCTTTTTCTCGCCGGCGGGGGTCGTCTCCGTAGCGACAGACCTGGTCATCACAGCTTCCGTAGACATGGCAGGGAGGGGGGAAAGCCTCTCCCCCTCCTCGTCTTCCTCCAACCCTCGGCGGGGTCGCGTACTAGGGGTACTACTGACAACTGAGCTAAAAACTGTGTCTTAGACATTTGACAGGGGCCAGAGGGTGAGGGTGTGGTTACAGCAGGGGCTGACGGCTGTACAGGGGCTTCATCAGATGTCTCTGGGACAGCAGGTGACTTCGGAGGTGGCACGGTGGAGGAGCGTTGCACATGCTCAGTGACCAACGACGCCTGCTTCTCAGGGGGGCCGGCAAGTTCTTCAGACAAAGTCAGCAACGGAGCGGACTGGACCGGTGTTGGCAGAGTTGCCGTGGCAACACCCGACTGCTCCAAAACTGTAGGCGGTTGCGGTTGTGTTGGTGGTGCGGCCGGTGGTCCATCGGGTACGGCTGTAGGCCTAGCTGGTTGTGTTGAGGGCACTACTATTGGACGAGCTACAGGTAGTACGTCTGTGTGAGACTGTGATGGTGGTGCTCGAGGAGGTCGGGGTGGACGAGGGGGTACGAGGCTGGGCTGTGTATCCTGAAGAGGGGTACTGGGTAACCCGGAGAGGACAGGTGGCGGGCGCTCTGACGCTGCTGCTGTCGCCGTTACGGTAGACTGGACCGCTGTGGTCGTTTGGACAGTTTCTTTTGACAGAGTAGTTACCGTGGACTGGACCATTACAGTCGACAGGACAGTTGATGTAGACTGGATAGTGGCTGGTGATTGAGAAGATGCTGTCAGGTGTAATGTTGATGGAGACTCTGCCACTGGTATTACCAGTGACTGCTGTTCTGTTCCAGAGGCCTGGTCCTGGCCTGCACTGCCCCTGGTAACCCCTCTGGTCCTGGGCTGGGATGGGCTGAGAGCCTGGGGGGCCTCCTGGGTGTCTGGATCTCCCTGGAGGAGGGCCACTGCGGCTCCTGAGGTAGGCTGGGTGGTGGGAGGCCTTTCCTGGGTGTAACGGTTGACCAGGGCCCTGACAGCTCCAGGAGGGACCAGGGCTACATAGGGAGGGAGATTGACAGGACGGATAAAGGTGGAGGGGATAGTGGAAAGAGGGAGAAGTGGAGAGAGACAGAGAAAGAACAAAATAATAACAGTGGAGAGATTATTAGAGATATTAGAGTTTGTTTCTCATCCCAATACTCTTTAATACATTGTAATAACGTGTGATTCAGAAGCAGGTCTCCCTAGTTCCTACCTCTGCCTGGTAACTCTCTGAGAGGTTGTCTACGGACCAGTGTCGGGGGCTCTCCCCCCTCCTGCTTCAGCAGTATGTACCCAGGGGAGTAGTCATCAGAATAGTCTGCCTCCTCGGGGGGGGGGGGGGGGGGGGAGACAACCACAACAGCTCAGGGTCAACAAAAACTCTGACAAAGGCTGTGAGGCCGATGTAAGTAAGTTTAAATAAACAAGTGATACTAGCAAGCGCAGTGTGAAGGTTTTTCTTTTCTCTGGGGTCGACAACAATAGAGAGGTGGATAAATTGAAAAGACAGCACAAACAGATCTGGGACTCAGGCTAGGTGGGGACTCAGGCTAGAAGCCTGTCTTACCCAATCCAACTCCTGTTTGATCAGTACGAAGGCCATCTGTGGGTTGCCCTCCTCGTCGTAGGCCCCACGATGCAGCTCCATCCCCTGGTTCTCCTCACGCTGGTGCTGCTCCCCAGCCCGAGGCAAAGCATGCGCTGTCAGAAATGGAAATAACAGATCAGGAGAGAGTGGTAGTTAAGATATAAGCACAAAATAATGCTTAGTTAAAGATTAGAAACCAACTGATGTGACAGAACATTTCAACATCCTATGTTGCAACCAAATAAATAGAATCCAGTCAAATTGCCAGGGTTCGAGGTTCCAAGCCCGTTCTATGGATTCTATACCTGAGTCAATATCACTATGAGGTGCCTTTGGTGTCCTCATCAGACTCACTCAGTCATCATGAAAATGTAGCAGAATAATGAAAGTCTGAGGTCTTATTATAAGTGGCCAAACATTTGCACACATATCAGTAGAATGATAAGTCTCTAAAAAAGTGTTTCCTTCATTTTATAAAAAAATTTTCATTGGATGTACGGGATTTTGGCATGTCCCACACACTGCTCTGCTAACTACAGTGTGTGTAATAAGTGGTTAAATGATACTAAATCCAATTTTTTTTTACATGGTTATTATAAAAATGGTTACACACATTTTATAACAGTACATGCTATACATAGTAAGAATGGACAATATGGACAATTTTTTTGGCGATATCGGTATCAGCAAACCTAGTTTGATAATGCAAGCCTAGTTTACCGGGACTGCCAATTAAAGTGTGTAAGGGAACATTTTGAATCTTCTTTTTCAAGGAATGAGATCAAAAGGAGCTGAGATAGCAAGGAGATATCGGGAACGTCGTGATGCTGACCCAGACAGAAGAAGAAAGTACCTTGAGAAAGAAAGGGTCAAATGGAAAAAAGACAGAGAGACTGGAAAGAAGAAGGGTGTCAATGAGCTCAGTGAGAGAGAGAAGAGGGCAAAAAGAAAGAAATGGAGAGGCAAAAAGTCAAGCCAGAGCCAGAAACAGGGCCAGTGCTTTGCTACAGTCAGAGACACCACCCAACTCCCCTGCTGAAACTCCTGAAAATCAGCATGAGCCAGGGCCCTCCAGGATGACAGAGAAGATCAAGAAGGATGAGAAGGTGTCAATAATAACAGTGAAAAGGGAGATAACAACAACAGAGCATGAGCTTAACACAGATTTCCAGGAGGGGCTTCTCCATTTTAGGAGCCATGTCTTCAACATTAAATGGCAGTTTGATGCCTACAGGGAGCTCAGGAGGAGTCTGAAGCACAATGAGTCCCTCTTGCATATAGATTTTAGCGAAAATTACTCATGTAAGTACAGCGAAGAAATACAATCTGTGCATTTTGGAGGCTCACACAAGCAGGCCAGTCTGCACACTGGAGTGCTCTACACCACTGGTGAACAAGCGCCACACACCTTCTGCTCCATATCACCCTCCAGAAGACACAACCCTGTGGCCATCTGGGCCCACCTTGATCCAGTTCTGAAGGTAGTGAGAGAACGACACCCTCAAGTCAGCACACTTCATTTTTTCAGCGATTGGGCCTGCAACGCAGTATCGACAAAAGGGAAATTTATTCTACCTCTCAACGGAACCCTACAAGTATGGCTTCAAAGAAATAACGTGGAATTTATTTGAGGCTAATCATGGGAAGGGGGCACCAGACGGTGTGGGTGGGGCCCTCAAGAGGTCAGCAGACCGGATTGTAGCCCATGGAGGAGACATTCCTGATGCCCAGAGCTTGTATAACAAGCTGAAAAGCCTGGACACATCTGTCGAGCTGTTCTTCATCCCAGAGAGGGATATTGAATCAAAGCCTGAGGTACCTGCAATAGCTGCCATAAAAGGCACTATGAGAATCCACCAAGCTATCAGTCTGACACCCGGCCAAATGAAATACAGAGACATTTCATGTCTGTGTAAAAGGGAGGAAGGTGTTTTGGACTGCCCCTGCTTTAACCTTCAAGAGGTCACTCTAGCTAATGTTCCCGTTTCATCTGACAAGTCCCCAGCATGTGGAAAGACACCAGATAATCCTAGGAGACCAGAAATGATTGAGGTAAAGCACATTGGAGAGTGGTGCGTCGTTAATTATGACAATGAAGCATACCCAGGTATCATCATGGATGCAGAAGGGCACAGTGTGAAAGTTAAGTGTATGCAACGCCATGGCATAAACAAGCTCAAATGGCCAAGTCTTCGGGACGACATCTGTTGGTACCATGACTGGCAGGTACTTTGCCTAATACCAGAACCACAGGCTCTGAACAAGCGCTCTGTACAGATTGAAGTGTCTGCATGGAAGTATGTGGAACAGCAACTGCAGAACTGAGCCATGTCTCTGCAGAAAGGGAGAGACTGTTTGGAGATGCGTCCAAGTGATCTTTCTGTAATCAACTGTTCTCCACTTAAAAAACATTTTTCTTCTTGTTCTACAGTTGAATGTTTGACTTTCACTGTGCAGAATGATGTACAGAGTTTAACGCTAGAAGGCCACATTAATGTCTCATTTTGGGCATCTTTATTCAGTGGCTGCATGCAGGTAGAGTGGATCAAAAACAGTCTGTTCAACTTCTAATTTCCCCCTACATGGGAAAAGGCATTTTTTACATCATTTTCTTGCATTGTTCCTTGCATTTATGAGGCCATTCAATTACATTTCACAACGTGTCCACCCTGTCATACCCAGGGTCCACCCTGTCATGTCACTGTCCACCCTGTTATTTTCATGTTCTATGAAAATAAACAAATTATTTTCACAAGTTAGCAAAATCTTTTGTGTGATTCCTTTATAAACAAATGAGGGCCAAATAGTATTGTTTGAAAGTTTGACCAGATATCTTTTTTGTTAGATTTTATTTAGAAAAGAAAGAGCAACTCTCGCAGATTTTATAGAGAAACAAATAGTTTGCCATAATTTCATTATTATCCAAATACTTTTCCCATAAACTAAAATATATTGTTGAGAAAGTGACTAAATAGTTTTCTGAAAATGTACGTTTTATAATCACTATGTAATTACAATGTATTTATTCTGCTTTGAAATTGTCCATGACAGGGTGGACATATTTTGCTGTTTGCATGTAAATTGTCTGCTTGCAGTTAATTTATAAAAAGTGTGGGAGCTTGACCAATATGCATTTCTAACAGCATAACATATACTTAATACAATGAATATGAAGTTCAATGGAAAATCTCAGCTTTTTTTGGGGGGGGGGAAATGGGGAAGTCTCAAAGGCACCTTATGGTGATATTGACCCACCTATCATTTTGGGTGACATATCAATCCCTAGGTTATCAAGGATCTCTTTTCAGTCATTTATGAATGCATAATAACAGACTACACCTCTCAAAACCATATGTTCTGTCTAATATTGTAGTCTATACAAATTAAATGTAACTACATGAAGCAGTTTTGGAAATTATTATTAACTTTGAGCCTTCATGCTCAGCTAGCTAGTTATCATGTTGTGTGATCATGGATGAGTCATTTGAACGTAGATAGATAGATAGATAGCTAGCTAACGTTTCAACTCACCGCATTGAACGCCAATGTCACATTTGCCGATACGTGTTGTTCTTTGGCTCGGTCTGGGCTCTGCGGTTTGGCTTTCACTTTCACCCGTCGATTTCTTCGCATTTTCAGGGGATCGAATCCTTGATTTGAGGTACTCGTTCTCTTCTTTTATTCTGCATATTTCGGCTCGCAGTTCCTCAATAGTTGTTTCGTAAAGTTTCGTTGTCTCAGTGACTGCAGTCTTCAATACACTCTCCATAACAGAGGCGAACTGGATTTGAAAACCGTCTTTCAACATGTTTGCGGCAGCCATCTTCAACCAACACTCATATACATGTGCATTCGATTATTATTTCGAATATAATGTACAAGATTGATCAGAACATGGCTTCTTCCTCTATGGACTCGGCACACGGTGCTTTGTGTGGTGGTGGTTTGGATCAATCGATTCAGTCTAGATTTCCTGTAAATAATTTACACAATTTTATTAAAATAGCCAATTATATTTTTTAACCTTATTTACAGTAAACGTGAGAAAATGCAAAGGTTTTGTTCAAATAAATATATTTTCTCTCTAAACTATTACTAAACCAAGATAGACCACAGGCTGTTGTTTCCAATGGGAACAAATGAGTCATAGTTGGCAGAACAAGCAGCAAGGAGGTGGGCAGAGCCAAACACGAGTTAGCGAGATCCTATTGGCACGTTCGAACATTAATCTGCATATTTCCGATAGGCAACGCCTTCCCTGAAGTGCGCGTGTGCAATAACTTAATTCGCCTTGGCGCTCCTTCTAAACAACGCGATTTTTTAATCTTTCGCAAAGGGTAAAGTCTACAAAACGTAGTCCACTCTGATCATAACAGATTTTATTTTTTGGTTAGAGAAAACTTTATTGAGATCAAATGTTTCATCGATGAGAAAATTTGCAGAATGTCGGCCAAAATCCATCTCGTTCCATCTTCTCCCACTGCCGGCCAGTGGGCTTCCTCTCACTACCATATTTAGTAGTGAGTGAACTGCTAAGCGGATGCTTCACGTTTGTACATCCGGTGAAATATCTGTCTCATTGTACTATCTGTGACTTTAGTGTTGGCTCTGTAACTATCTAACTGCCATAAGCTTGCGTTCTCTCAATACCTATTGTATTTATTCGAATAACCTCATACAGTAAATGCTACATATTATATCTTGAAATTATTACAATTGTTATTAGGACCGTCATTGAGAGCGACAACTTCCAACAGTAGCTAGCTTTGCTAGCCTGCTAACGTTAGCTAGCTTCCTCCTAGCCTTTTGCTGAACTGGATCGTAACACTGACCCACCTGAACAAAAGTAGCTAAACGTTACGAACTCTTAACTGTAGCTAGATACACATATATAGTTTGCCTTCATGTCTGAAGCCATCGTAACCTTCCAGTCTAAGCTCTCTGGAGTCATGGAGACGGTATTCAAGGCTGCCATGTACGAGATCACCAGGCTGGTGGAGGATAGCTTCCTGAAGGAGGTGTCCCGGAGCCGGGAGCAGATCGAGTCACTGAAGAAGCGGTTGCAGTGGTCAGAGAACAGACGCAGGGAGAGGGACAGAGAGGGAGGCCAGAGGGGAAATTGTGGGGACTATGGAAGAGCTGACGAGGAAGCCGAGGAGACAAGCTCTGGAACCTCACAGACAGGTGAGGAGAGAGACATCTAAACACATATCTACACTGAGTTTACAAAACATTAGGAACACCTGCTCTTTCCATGACAGACAAACCAGGTGAAAGCTATTACCCCTAATTAATGTCACTTGTTAAATCCACTTTAATCAGTGTAGATGAAGGGGGTGAGACAGGTTAAATAAGGATTTTAAAGCATTGAGACATGGATTGTGTATGTGTGCCATTCAGAGGGTGAATGGGCAAGACAAAATATTTAAGTGCCTTTGAACGGGGTATAGTAGTAGGTGCCAGGCGCACTGGTTTGAGTGTGTCAAGAACTGCAACGCTGCTGGGTTTTTCATGCTCAACAGTGTCCCGTGTGTATCTGGAATACATTTCAATGAACAGGTGTGCCTTCTTAAAAGTTAAATTGTGGAATTTCTTTCCTTAATGCGTTTGAGCCAATCAGTTGTGTTGTGACAAGGTGGGTGGGGGTATACAGAAGATAGCCCTATTTGGTAAAAGACCAAGTCCATATTATGGCAAGAACAGCTCAAATAATCAAAGAGAAATGACAGTCCATCATTACTTTAAGACAGGGTTCTTCAATTCCGGTCCTGGAGGGCCGAAACACTTCTGTTTTTTATTTCTACCTGGTAGTTAATTGCACTCACCTGGTGTCCCAGGTCTGAATTAGCCCCTGATTAGAAGGAGAGGATGAAAAACAGAGGTGTTTCGGCCCTCCAGGACCGGAATTGAAGAACCCTGCTTTAAGACATGAAGGTCAGTTAATACTGAACATTAAAATAACTTTGAAAGTTTCTTAAAGTGCAGTCGCAAAAAGTACTATGACGAAATTGGCTCTCTAGAGGACCGCCACAAGAATTGAAGATCCTCTGCTGCAGAGGATAAGTTCATTAGAGTTACCAGCCTCAGAAATTGCAGCAAAATAAATGCTTCACAGAGTTCAAGTAACAGACACATCTCAACATCAACTGTTCAGAGGAGACTGTGTGAATCAGGCCTTCATGGTCGAATTGCTGCAAAGAAACCACTAATAAAGGACACCATTAATAAGAAGAGACTTGCTTGGGCCAAGAAACACGAGCAATGGACATTAGACTGCTGGAAATGTGTCCTTTGGTCTGGAGTCGAAATTGGAGAGTTTTGGTTCCAACCGCTGTGTCTTTGTGAGACGCGGTGTGGGTGAACGGATGATCTCCGCATGTGTAGTTCCCACCGTAAAACATGGAGTAGGAGGTGTTATGGTGTGGGGGTGCTTTGCTGGTGACACTGTCTTTGATTTATTTAGAATTCAAGGCACACTTAACCAGCATGGCTACAACAGCATTCTGCAGTGATACGCCATCCCATCTGGTTTGGGCTTTGTGGGACTATGATTTGTTTTTCAACAGGACAATGACCCAACACACCTCCAGGCTGTGTAAGGGCTATTTGACCAAGAAGGAGAGTGATGGAGTGCTGCATCAGATGACCTGGCATTCACAATCCCCCGACCTCAAGCAAATTTAAATGGTTTGGGATGAGTCGACCGCAGAGTGAAGGAAAAGCAGCCAACAAGTACTCAGCTTATGTGGGAACTCCTTCAAGACTGTTGGAAAAGCATTCCAGGTGAAGCTGGTTGAGAGAATGCCAAGAGTGTGCAAAGCTGTCATCAAGGCAAAGGGTGGCTATTTGAAGAATCTCAAATATAAAATATATTTTGATTTCTTTAACACTTTTTTTGGTTACTACATGATTCCATGTGTTATTTCATAGTTTTGATGTCTTCACTATTATTCTACAATTTAGAAAATAAAGAAAAACTGTTGACTGAGTAGGTGTCCTAAAACTTTTGAACGGTAGTATATATATACTACTGTTCAAAAGTTTGGGGTCACTTAGAAATGTCCTTGTTTTCGAAAGAAAAGCAATTTTTTTATGTCCATAAAAATAACATCAAATTGATCAGAAATACAGTGTAGACATTGTTAATGTTGTAAATGGCTATTGTAGCTGGAAAATGGCTGATTATTAATGGAATATCTACATAGGCGTACAGAGGCCCATTATCAACAACCATCAGTCCTGTGTTCCAATGGCACGTTGTGTTTTCTAATCCAAGTTTATCATTTGAAAAGTCTAATTGATCATTAGAAAACCCTTTTGCAATTATGTTAGCACAGCTGAAAACTGTTGTGCTGATTAAAGAAGCAATAAAACTGGCCTTCTTGAGACTAGTTGAGTATCTGGAGCATCAGCAATTGTGGGTTTGATTACAGGCTCAAAATGGTCAGAAACAAATAACTTTCTTCTGAAACACATCAGTCTATTCTTGTTCTGAGAAATGAAGGCGAGAAATTGCCAAGAAACTGAAGATCTCGTACAACGCTGTGTACTAATCCCTTCACATAACAGCGCAAACTGGCTCTAACCAGAATAGAAAGAGGAGTGGGAGGCCCCGGTGCACAACTGAGCAAGAGGACAAATACATTAGTGTCTAGTTTGAGAAACAGACGCCTCACAGGTCCTCAACTGGCAGCTTCATTAAATAGTACCCGCAAAACACCAGTCTCAATGTCAACAGTGAAGAGGCCACTCCGGGATGCTGACCTTCTAGGCAGAGGTGCAAAGAAAAAGCCATATCTCTGACTGGCCAATAAAAATAAAAGATTAAGATGGGCAAAAGAACACAGACACTGGACAGAGGAAGATTGGAAAAAAGTGTTATGGACAGACAAATCAAAGTTTGAGGTGTTCGGATCACAAAGAACATTTGTGAGACGAAGACCAAATGAAAAGATGCTGGAGGAGTGCTTGATGCCATCTGTCAAGCATGGTGGAGGCAATGTGATGGTCTGGGGGTGCTTTGGTGGTGGTAAATTGGGAGATTTGTACAGGGTAAACGGGATCTTGAAGAAGGAAGGCTATCACTCCATTTTGCAACGCCATGCCATACCCTGTGGACGGCGCTTAATTGGAGCCAATTTCCTCCTACAACAGGACAATGACCCAAAGCACAGCTCCAAACTATGCAAGAACTATTTAGGGAAGAAGCAGTCAGCTGGTATTCTGTCTATAATGGAGTGGCCAGCACAGTCACCGGATCTCAACCCTATTGAGCTGTTGTGGGAGCAGCTTGACCGTATGGTACGTAAGAAGTGCCCATCAAGCCAATCCAACTTGTGGGAGGTGCTTCAGGAAGCATGGAGTGAAATCTCTTCTGATTACCTCAACAAATTGACAACTAGAATGCCAAAGGTCTGCAAGGCTGTAATTGCTGCAAATGGAGGATTCTTTGACGAAAGCAAAGTTTGAAGGACACAATTATTATTTCAATTAAAAATAATTATTTCTAACCTTGTCAATGACTACATTTCCTATTCATGTTGCTATATTTCCTATTCAAACTCATTTCATGTATGTTTTCATGGAAAACAAGGACATTTCTAAGTGACCCCAAACTTTTGAACGGTAGTGTGTGTATATACACTGCTCAAAAAAATAAAGGGAACACTTAAACAACACAATGTAACTCCAAGTCAATCACACTTCTGTGAAATCAAACTGTCCACTTAGGAAGCAACACTGATTGACAATACATTTCACATGCTGTTGTGCAAATGGAATAGACAACAGGTGGAAATTATAGGCAATTAGCAAGACACCCCCAATAAAGGACTGGTTTTGCAGGTGGTGACCACAGACCACTTCTCAGTTCCTATGCTTCCTGGCTGATGTTTTGGTCACTTTTGAATGCTGGCGGTGCTTTCACTCTAGTGGTAGCATGAGACGGAGTCTACAACCCACACAAGTGGCTCAGGTAGTGCAGCTCATCCAGGATGGCTCATCAATGCGAGCTGTGGCAAGAAGGTTTGCTGTGTCTGTCAGCGTAGTGTCCAGAGCATGGAGGCGCTACCAGGAGACAGGCCAGTACATCAGGAGACGTGGAGGAGGCCGTAGGAGGGCAACAACCCAGCAGCAGGACTGCTACCTCCGCCTTTGTGCAAGGAGGAGCAGGAGGAGCACTGCCAGTGCCCTGCAAAATGACCTCCAGCAGGCCACAAATGTGCATGTGTCTGCTCAAACGGTCAGAAACAGACTCCATGAGGGTGGTATGAGGGCCCGACGTCCACAGGTGGGGGTTGTGCTTACAGCCCAACACCGTGCAGGACGTTTGGCATTTGCCAGAGAACACCAAGATTGGCAAATTCGCCAATCGCGCTCTTCACAGATGAAAGCAGGTTCACACTGAGCACGTGACAGACGTGACAGAGTCTGGAGACGCCGTGGAGAACGTTCTGCTGCCTGCAACATCCTCCAGCATGACCGGTTTGGCGGTGGGTCAGTCATGGTGTGGGGTAGCATTTCTTTGGGGGGCCGCACAGCCCTCCATGTGCTCGCCAGAGGTAGCCTGACTGACATTAGGTACCGAGATGAGATCCTCAGACCCCTTGTGAGACCATATGCTGGTGCGGTTGGCCCTGGGTTCCTCCTAATGCAAGACAATGCTAGACCTCATGTGGCTGGAGTGTGTCAGCAGTTCCTGCAAGAGGAAGGCATTGATGCTATGGACTGGCCCGCCCGTTCCCCAGACCTGAATCCAATTGAGCACATCTGGGACATCATGTCTCGCTCCATCCACCAACGCCACGTTGCACCACAGACTGTCCAGGAGTTGGCGGATGCTTTAGTCCAGGTCTGGGAGGAGATCCCTCAGGAGACCATCCGCCACCTTACCAGGAGCATGCCCAGGCGTTGTAGGGAGGTCATACAGGCACGTGGAGGCCACACACACTACTGAGCCTCATTTTGACTTGTTTTAAGGACATTACATCAAAGTTGGATCAGCCTGTAGTGTGGTTTTCCACTTTAATTTTGAGTGTGACTCCAAATCCAGACCTCCATGGGTTGATACATTTGATTTCCATTGATCATTTTTGTGTGATTTTGTTGTCAGCACATTCAACTATGTAAAGAAAAAAGTATTTAATAAGATTATTTCATTCATTCAGATCTAGGATGTGTTATTTTAGTGTTCCCTTAATTTTTTTGAGCAGTGTATATACATACAGTCGTGGTCAAAAGTTTTGAGAATGACACACGTTTTGGTCTTCACAAAGTTTGCTGCTTCAGTGTTTTTAGATATTTTTGTCAGATGTTACTATGGTATACTGAAGTATAATTACAAGCATTCCATAAGTGTCAAAGGCTTTTATTGACAATTACATTAAGTTTATGCAAAGAGTCAATATTTGCAGTGTTGACCCTTCTTTTTCAAGACCTCTGCAATCCGCCCTGGCATGCTGTCAATTAACTTCTGGGCCACATCCTGACTGATGGCAGCCCATTCTTGCATAATCAATGCTTGGAGTTTGTCAGAATTTGTGGGTTTTTGTTTGTCCACCCACCTCTTGAGGATCGACCATAAATTCTCAATGGGATTAAGGTCTGGGGAGTTTCCTGGCCATGGACCCAAAATTTCGATGTTTTGTTCCCAGAGCCACTTAGTTATCACTTTTGCCTTATGGCAAGGTGCTCCATCATGCTGGAAAAGGCATTGTTTGTCACCAAAAGGTTATTGGATGGTTGGGAGAAGTTGCTCTCGGAGAATGTGTTGGTACCATTCTTTATTCATGGCTGTGTTCTTAGGCAAAATTGTGAGTGAGCCCACTCCCTTGGCTGAGAAGCAACCCCACACATGAATGGTCTCAGGATGCTTTACTGTTGGCATGACACAGGACTGATGGTAGCGCTCACCTTGTCTTCTCCGGACAAGCTTTTTTCCGGATGCCCCAAACATTCGGAAAGGGGATTCATCAGAGAAAATGACTTTACCCCAGTCCTCAGCAGTCCAATCCCTGTACCTGTTGCAGAATATCAGTCTGTCCCTGATGTTTTTCCTGGAGAGAAGTGGCTTCCTCGCTGCCCTTCTTGACACCAGGCTATCCTCCAAAAGTCTTGCCTCACTGTGCGTGCAGATGCACTCACACCTGCCTGCTGCCATTCCTGAGCAAGCTCTGCACTGGTGGTGCCCCGATCCCGCAGCTGAATCAACTTTAGGAGACGGTCCTGGCACTTGCTGGACTTTCTTGGGCGCCCTGAAGCATTCTTCACAACAATTGAACCTCTCTCCTTGAAGTTCTTGATGATCCGATAAATGGTTGATTTAGGTGCAATCTTACTAGCAGCAATATCCTTGCCTGTGAAGCCCTTTTTGTGCAAAGCAATGATGACGGCACGTGTTTCCTTGCAGTTAACCATGCTTAACAGAGGAAGAACAATGATTTCAAGCACCACCCTCCTTTAAAAGCTTCCAGTCTGTTATTCTAACTCAATCAGCATGACAGAGTGATCTCCAGCCTTGTCCTCGTCAACACTCTCACCTGTTTTAACGAGAAAATCACTGACATGATGTCAGCTGGTCCTTTTGTGGCAGGGCTGAAATGCAGTGGAAATGTTTTTTGGGATTAAGTTCATTTTCATGGCAAAGAGGGACTTTGCAATGAATTGCAATTCATCTGATCACTCTTAATAACATTCTGGAGTAAATGCAAATTGCCATCATAAAAACTGAGGCAGCATACTTTGTGAAAATTTATATTTGTTTAATTCTCAAAACTTTGTGTGTGTGTATATGTGTATATATATATATATATAATGGAATCACTCTGAAGTGGGGGTGCTGTAATGTGTACCTTCCATACGTTGGTGATCAATGAGTATTGGTTTAAGAAAAGAGTTGAAGTCATGGGTGGTGTCATCTTAATAAGATGCTTCCTTTCCTTCATCTGCACTGATGTGAGGAGACTCCATCATCCACAATGTTACTTTAGCCTTTTCTTTTACTTCAAATAAAATGTTATTATTAAAATGCTATTTTAGGTCCCGAGTTGCGCAGTGGTCTAAGGCACTGCATCGCAGTGCTAGCTGTGCCACTAGAGATCCTGGTTCGAATCCAGGCTCTGTCGTAGCCGGCCGTGACCGGGAGACCCATGGGGCGGTGCACAGTTGGCCCACCGTCGTCCAGGGTAGGGGAGGGAATGGCCGGCAGGGATGTAGCTCAGTTGGTAGAGCATGGCGTTTGCAACGCCAGGGTTGTGGGTTCGATTCCCACGGGGGGAATAATGTATGCACTCACTAACTGTAAGTCGCTCTGGATAAGAGCGTCTGCTAAATGACTAAAAAGTATTTGGTCACCTACAAACAAGCAAGATTTCTGGCTCTCACAGACCTGTAACAACTTCTTTAAGAGGCTCCTCTGTCCTCCACTCGTTACCTGTATTAATGGCACCTGTTTGAACTTGTTATCAGTATAAAAGACACCTGTCCACAACCTCAAACAGTCACACTCTAAACTCCACTATGGCCAAGACCAAAGAGCTGTCAAAGGACACCAGAAACAAAATTGTAGACCTGCACCAGGCTGGGAAGACTGAATCTGCAATAGGTAAGCAGCTTGGTTTGAAGAAATCAACTGTGGGAGCAATTATTAGGAAATGGAAGACATACAAGACCACTGATAATCTCCCTCGATCTGGGGCTCCACGCAAGATCTCACCCCGTGGGGTCAAAATGATCACAAGAACGGTGAGCAAAAATCCCAGAACCACACTGGGGGACCTAGTGAATGAACTGCAGAGAGCTTGGACCAAAGTAACAAAGCCTACCATCAGTAACACACTACGCTTCCAGGGACTCAAATCCTGCAGTGCCAGACGTGTCCCCCTGCTTAAGCCAGTACATGTCCAGGCCCGTACTGAAGTTTGGATGATTTGGATGATCCAGAAGAGGATTGGGAGAATGTCATATGGTCAGATGAAACCAAAATAGAACTTTTTGGTAAAAACTCAACTCGTCGTGTTTGGAGGACAAAGAATGCTGAGTTGCATCCAAAGAACACCATACCTACTGTAAAGCATGGGGGTGGAAACATCATGCTTTGGGGCTGTTTTTCTGCAAAGGGACCAGGACGACTGATCCGTGTAAAGGAAAGAATGAATGGGGCCATGTATCGTTAGATTTTGAGTGAAAACCTCCTTCCATCAGCAAGGGCATTGAAGATGAAACGTGGCTGGGTCTTTCAGCATGACAATGATCCCAAACACACCGCCCGGGCAACGAAGGAGTGGCTTCGTAAGAAGCATTTCAAGGTCCTGGAGTGGCCTAGCCAGTCTCCAGATCTCAGTAAATGTAAATGTTTACCTGTGGCCAGGTGCGGAGACGGGGCGTGGCCTGAAGCAGGAGAAGGTACCAGGGGAGGAGTGGACCAGCTGTGGGTGCGTGGCCGGGGAAACAGCCTTCCATGATCTGGAGGAGGCAGAGGCCACCAGTCCTAGGAGAACATCTGAGGTATCTAAGGGACTAAACAACTGTGGAGGGTGCAGTGTTACAGAACGTTCAGTTAGAAATATATTTTAAAGAACATATTAGAACAGATAGTCTGTCACTAAGAATAGGGCAGCCTCTTTCAAACCTCTCCTCATATTTGAACTGTTCCAGAACTAGCTCACCTGATTTAACTTGTCAACGAATCATCAAGCCCGTCACTACTTGAATCAAGTATGCTAGTTCAGGGCTACAGCAAAATTGTAGCTCTATTCAGTCACTGTCGTTTTATCTATCGTTTAGTCAGAATCGACTCATTCATTTGCTCTTCCAGTCCACAGAGGTCGGAGGTCAGAAGCTGGACAGTCTGCTGAAAGAGGAGCCTCTCCACAACACTGAGCTACAGGAGAAATGGGGTGTCTGCCTGGATGGTGAGTTGAGGAGTTTACAACAAACATAACACAGACAATAGCCTACCTTTAATAGCCTACCTTTAGGTTTATGAGAATGATAAGAAGAGTAACTTATAGTATGCTGTGTCATTCCAAATGTATTCATTATTACACATGGCAAGTCATCTGGAAACTGTAAGTACACGTTTAGCATTACAGTTACTCTACTAAAGTTTCTAGTAATTCTAATGTCTTAAATATGAATGCTTCTAATGCCTCATGTCCCCTTTGTTTTCAGGGGCCGATGGTTCGGACGTCTCGGGGCCCAGTAAGAGTTTCAGTGAGCAGGAGCTGCAGCAGTGCCAGGATGACTGGGCATCCGGTCTAGACCAGGGGCCTGAACCACCGGGTCCCGAGGGAGACCCAGGGGACCCCACTGACCCTCTCTACCGCCCTCGTTACAGCATGGAGGAACTGGGGGGCGGCTTTGAGAAGTCTGGTTACGGCGGTGATGGTGATGGAGGCCATCGTCTAGACTTGGAAGGGCTGGATAGTCTTCCTGGTTCCTCGTCTCGTCTGGGGGCGCTGAGCTACGGAGCTGTGGGTCACTACCAGGTGAACCTGGTGGGGGTCTGAGGGGGGAGACCATCACTCCCACATGCCTGGCCCCCATCGGAGCCGGAGGGAGCGGTTAGGGTTGCCAACGCGGTCCCCCCATCTGGAGGTGGGAGACCTGAACTGCCTGTTGATCAACGAGGAGGGGTACCTGCAGGACTCCAGTGTCTTGTACCCCGAACATGGTGTCCCAGAGGCGGGTAACAGAGCTGACCACAGGGGGATAACCTCCATCCACTCTGGAAGCTCAGCCCACAACGACGACTTTGGACACTCTCTAAACCTCAGAGATCGTTCACAAGAGCAGTTAACAGGAAGAGTGGGAGGAGGGGGGAGACGTCACGCCTGCAATCAGTGCACCATGACCTTCCCAGACTCTGGCTCCCTCAAGGCCCACAAGCAAACACACAAAACAGAGAGAGGGTCGAGTACAGGGTCAGGGTCTGGGCCTCCGTACTCCTGCACCCAGTGTGGTAAAACCTTCACCCAGGCCTGCAACCTCAAGGTCCACCAGCGGGTCCACCAGGCCAAGGGACTCCACCTCTGCAGCCACTGTGGCAAGGGCTTCACCTCCTTCTCCGACCTGAAGAGGCACAAGTGCAGCCAGATGACAGACAAGCCCTACTGCTGCTCCATCTGTGGGAACAAGTTCAGTCGGCTCTGGAACCTGAAGGTGCATCAGCGCATTCACACGCAGGAGAAACCCCACCGCTGCACTATGTGTGACAAGAGATTCACGCGGGCAGACATTTTGAAAGTGCACCTGCGCACCCACACTGGGGAGAGACCGTACTGCTGTGCTGTGTGTGGACTCAGCTTCAAAAGACTGGCCCATCTGAAGTCACACCAGCGCAAACACAGGCCGGAACTCCTGGACTGATTTTTTTTATTGCTACATTTTTTTTGTCATATAGCAGACACTCTAAAAACAGAGCGACTTACAATTAGTGCATTCATCTTAGGATAGCTAGGTTTATTATTATTTTATTTGACATTGAGAACATTTCTTGTGATCAGTTGTTTATTAATAAGGACATGTTTGCTGTGATCTAGTGGACTATAAAAGAGACGTCTCTCCTATTCTTAACACTTTGCCCAGTCATATTCAATGTCAGAACTACTTTTCTAGGGGTTCTGATGCTTCTAGCCTTGATCTGTATTTTTATAACATATCTACAATATTTCACTTTTTAATGTGTATAGTATTTCCTACTATGTGTTGTCTAATGAATTCTGTAACCACTCCCTCTTCATATTGATTGGTTGATTGGAAAATGCTGTTCAAAAGAGGACATTGTATTATCATATCTTTGTACTCCCTGATGAAGGCCATGCAGCCGAAACGCGTCGGAGTTTGTAATCTTTGTTTCCATTGAACATGTCATACAAATAAATATATTTTAGTTAATTATATTCAGATTGCCTTGGTCCTCCTTTCTTTATGATGAAAATATGAACGGTTGGAAATCTGTGTGTTGAATAAGAATTCACGCCATACATGGACCGTCTATGAATTGTCTTTCATAATGATCATGCCAACCTACCATGATTGTGTTCAAGTGCTTTTGAAGTCTGACCAATTCATCAACCAATAAGATTTTAGCTTGCTTGATTGCTAGTTAACATTGCTAATAATAAAATTAGCTTGTGACATGTTGATAGGATGGTTCAGCATAAACAACAAAATAATAATTAACCAATCAACAACAAGTGAATATAGTCCTGTCAGAGCCAACAGTCTCAGTTCAAAACCTGAATCCTACCAGAACCTTTGGTTGAGAGTGTGAGTCCTTAAATGGAAGTGCAAGTCCAAATAAATGTTTGTAAACCAAAGGAATCCCCCCCCCCCCCCTAGATATTTTCACTAGGGCCAGGACAACACCAGTATCGTGATATTTTTTCCATGCCAAAAATGAAAACACGAAGCAGACTTAACTCTTTGGTCCTTTAAAAACCTGCTGTATGTAAAATACTGTGTGATATAGCCTGGAAGATAAATACATGTGACTCTGGATGACAACATAATGATGTTTGTTTAGGAAGTTAACTTTGCTATAGTGTTTTGTTTCCTTATCACCACACTAGTGTTATTCCGGTTCTAATTTTCACCAAAGCAGTGGACTGTGATAGAAAAGAGGCCTAAAAATCCCTCTTAGCACACAGCAAACAATGCTTGCTCTCTCTCACAATGGGCTTGCAGTCAATTCAAGATGGCACCTGTGGGTTGGACATGCCTCCCGACCACACCCATATCTGCAACCTTAAAGGCCGACTGCATAATAGGCCTTTATAATCCCAACACAGTGTAATAACATGGCCAAGACTAAGTACATTCAGCAACACATTATTTTCATCATTTCATTTATTTTAGGGGCAACGTTTAATTTCATTTCACATTGTGCTTTCTTGGTAAAGCATGTTACAAGCTAGCTTGCTTAACATTGACAATATGGTCAAACTACCTATTCTGAAAAAATATATAAACGCAACATGTAAAGTGTTGGTCCCATGTTTCATGAGCTGAAATGAAAGATCACAGAAATGTTCCATATGCACAAAAAGCTGACTTTAACATTTGTTTACATCCTTGTTAGTGAACATTTCTCATTTTCCAAGGTAATCCATCCACCTGTGAGGTGTGGCATATGAAGAAGCTGATTAAACGGCATGATCATTACACAGGTGCACCTTGTGCTGGGGACAATAAAAGGCCACTCTAAAATGTGCAGTTTTGTCACACAACACAATGCCACAGATGTCTCAAGTTTTGAGGGAGTGTGAAATTGGCATGCTGACTGCAGGAATGTCCACCAGAGCTGTTGCCTGAGAAGTTAATGTTCATTTTTCTACCATAAGCCACATCTAATGTGTTTTAGAGAATTTAGCAGTACATCCAACTGGCCTGACAACCAAAGACCATGTGTATGGCATTGTGTGGGCTAGCAGTTTGCTGATGTCAACGTTGTGAACAGAGTGCCCCATGGTGGCGGTGGGGTTATGGTCTGGGCAGGCATAAGCTACAAACACAATTGCATTTTATCGATGGCAATTTGAATGCACAAAAATACGGTGACAAGATCCTGAGGCCCATTGTGAGGCCCATAAAATATATATATATATATATATATATATATATATATATATATATATATATATATATATATATATATATATATATATATGTATTCCCAGTCATGTGTCATCCATAGATTAGGGCCTAATGAATTTATTTCAATTGACTGATTTCCTCATATGAACTGTAACTCAGTAAAATCTTTGAAATTGTTGCATGTTGTGTTTATATTTTTTTCCAAATTGATACATTTGTAATTGTCAAACATTTATTTGTTCTCATCTTTTGGTTGAAAGGGTGAAGGGTCAGTGGTGAAACATGCAACTCGGGTAACAAATTTTTTTGTTTTTTGTCTCCCACTCTTAATTATGACTTAGAGGGTCATTCAAGTGAAAATTCCCAGTCTTTAAAGCAACTAGTTCAAACCTGCAGAACATAAAAACCATGACGTGAGACGTGAACTCAGTACACCTCAATTTGAACTTGTTTTTAGGCTTCTAACTTTCCTAATGAATAACAAATGATAAATAACCAGAATTTATGTTTTAAAAACAATTAATCAACTGTTAATTCAAGTCTCAATTCAAAATCAAAATTTTATTTCGTGGCATTTTTCTTCCAAACAACAAAATATTTGATATGTGTTATCAATCAATACATAAAAACATAAAAGAACAAGTCCTTCCCAATCACTGTGAGAATAGATTGGGATCCCTGCGTCATTAAAACTAACACTGCTGGATTTTTTAATTCACAGCGAAGAGAGAGGGAGCACTAGTGGGCAGTAATATTTGATATGTGAATATACAGTATATTATATATACATCACATGCGACTCATAATGAGACTAAGCAGTTAGCCTATTAAAATGTTTATCTGACTCCATAAAGATAATTAAAATATACACAAGACTATGGTTGAGTTACAGTAATAGGCAATGAAGAACGGTCTGAGAATGGAATTCTAAATGCAAGTGTATTTAATTAATGGATTCAGCATAAAGCTTAAGCTACAAGGCAATACTAACATAAAAAAAACCTGTAGTAAAAAAAAAACTGTTATTTTGGACGCAGTATTTGCCGCATACTGCAGTTATACTGCACTCTGACTGCAATCTTTTTTCGTAAGGGCACTGCTGCAACATGACCATAAACGTTGCACCTGAAACAGCGCGGTGGATTCTGCACAAAAGCTCTAACAGTATAACTGATATAACCTAACTTTCTGTCGCCAATTGGATAGAAACCTAGTTTTGGACACGCTATTCCCTATCTAGTCCACGCCACTACCTTAGACCTGGGCCCGCATAAGGCTGAGTGTGTGGCGGGATAAATCGCTTCCGTGTAGATTTCCTGGAAATCGTTTACACAATAAATAGCCTACTACGGTAATTATCTGTATCTGAATGTTATTATAATAGCCGAATTATATTTCGAATCTTATTTACAGTAAACTTACAAAGGTTTTGTTCAAAGAAAGGTCGTCTTTTCTCTCCAGTACGATAAGGATCGTTCCAATTTAGATTGTCCCACTACCCGATCTGTAGGTTTGTTTCCGGAAGTCTTATGTTTTGGTGTTGGCTCTGTAACTAGCTAGCAAGCAAACTATCATCTCTCATTAACGCTGGTATTTATATATGTTTTTATATTTATTAGAATAGCCTCATATACAGTAACTGCTACATCTTATATCACGAAATGCTACAAAAAAATATATTACTAGGGCAGTCACTGAGTCAGACAACAACTTCCAATAGTAGCTAGCTTTGCTAGCCTGCTAACACAGACACAAGGTTTAGTTGGCAGTATCTTTGCTGCTAACGTTAGCTTACTATCATTTTACTAGACTCGATCGCAGGACTGATTCGCCTGTACAAAAGTAGCTACACGTTACGAACTCTTAACTGTAGCTAGTTACACATAGACAGTTTGCCATGATGTCCGAAGCCACCGTAACCTTCCAGTCTCAGCTCTCCGGAGTCATGGAGACGGTATTCAAGACTGCCATGTACGAGATCACAAGGCTGGTGGAGGATAGCTTCCTGAAGGAGGTGTCCCGGAGCCGGGAGCAGGTTGAGTCGCTGAAGAAGCGGCTGCAGTGGTCGGAGAACAGACGCAGGGAGAGGGACAGAGACGGAGGTCGGACAGGGAAGTGTGGGGACTGTGGGAAGGCTGCCGAGGAGAGAAACTCTGGAACCTCACAGACAGGTATACTGCCCTACCAAACAAAAAGGCAGTAACTGCTCATAGCATGGAACTGAGAAAAATGGCTTTTATTTACTTTGGTTTCACAGTAACCTTATGCAGTTACTGCTAACATGACCCCCATTTTCTCCAAAACACAATACAATAGAGGCAGGATACTTGTCCACATGATTAAGCATGTATTTAATGTAGCAAAAATGACACTAACTCATTTTCGACCAAATGAGCAGTTACTGTCTTTTTGCTTAGTATAGAGAGATACATCTAATGACAGTCACTCTCTCTCAATTCACTTTCAATTTAAGGGGCTTTATTGGCATGGGAAACATGTGTTTACATTGCCAAAGCAAGTGAAATTGATAATAAAAAATGAACAGTAAACATTACTCACAAAAGTTCCAAAATAATAAAGACATTTCAAGTGCCATATGTCTATATACAGTATTGTAATGATGTGCAAATAGTTAAAGTACAAAAGGGGAAATAAATAAACATAAATATAGGTTGTATTTACAATGGGGTTTGTTATTCACTGGTTGCCCTTTTCTTGTGGCAACAGGTCACAAATCTTGCTGCTGTGATTGCACACTGTGGTATTTCACCCAATAGATATGGTAGTTGATCAAAATTGGATTTGTTTTCGAATTCTTTGTGGGTCTGTGTAATCTGAGGGAAATATGTGTCTCTAATATGGTCATACATTTGGCAGGAGGTAGGAAGTGCAGCTCAGTTTCCACTTCATTCTGTGTGCAAGGCTGTGCTCACTGAGTCTGTACATAGTCAAAGATTTCCTTAAGTTTGGGTCAGTCACAGTGGTCAGGTATTCTGCCACGGTGTACTCTCTGTTTAGGGCCAAATAGCATTCTAGTTTGCTCAGTTTTTTTGGACATTCTTTCCAATATGTAGAGTAATTATCTTTTTTTTTTTCTTCTCATGGTTTGGTTGGGTCTAATTGTGTTGTTGTTGTCCTGGGGCTCTGTGGGGTCTTCTCCAGGTTCATTTCTCTGTAGGCGATGGCTTTGTTAAGGAAGGTTTGGGAATAACTTCCTTTTAGGTGGTTGTAGAATTTAACAGCTCTTTTCTGGATTTTGATAATTAGCGGGTATTGGCCAAATTCTGCTTTGCATGCATTATTTGGTGTTTTACGTTGTACACTGAGGATGTTTTTGCAGAATTCTGCATGCAGGTCTCAATTTGGTGTTTGTCCCATTTTGTGAATTTTTCTCACAACCATAAAGGGCAATGGGTTCTATAACTGATTGAAATATTTTTAGCCAGATCCTAATTGGTATGTCTAATTTTATGTTCCTTTTGATGGCATAGAAGGCCCTTCTTGCCTTGTCTCTCAGATCGTTCACAGATTTGTGGAAGATACCTGTGGCGCTGATGATTAGGCCGAGGTATGTATAGTTTTTTGTGTGCACTAGGGCAACAGTGTCTAGATGGAATTTGGATTTGTGGTCCTGGCAACTGGACCATTTTTGGAACACCATTATTTTTGTCTCGCTGAGATTTACTGTCAGGGCCCAGGTCTGACAGAATCTGTGCGGAAGATCTAGGTGCTGCTGTAGGCCCTCCTTGGTTGGGGACAGAAGCACCAGATCATCCGCAAACAGTAGATATTTGACTTCAGATTCTAGTAGGGTGAGGCCGGGTGCTGCAGACTGTTTTAGTGCCCTCGCCAATTCGTTTATATATATATTTAAGAGGGTGGGGCTTAAGCTGCATCCCTGTCTCACCCCCCGGGCCCTGTGGAAAGATGTGTGTTTTTGCCCATTTTAACCGCACACTTGTTGTTTGTGAACATGGATTTTATAATGTTGTATGTTTTCCCCCCAACATCACTTTCCATTAATTTGTATAGCAGGCTCTCATGCCAAATTGAGTCTAAAGCTTTTTTGAAATCAAGAAAGTATGAGAAGCCTTTGCCTTGGTTTTGGGTTGTTTGTTTGTTTGTCAATTAGGGTGTGCAGGGTGAATACGTGGTCGGTCGTACGGTAATTTGGTAAAAAGACAATTTGACATTTGCTCAGTACATTGTTTTCGCTGAGGAAATGTACGAGTCTGCTGTTAATGATAATGCAGAGGATTTTCCCAAGGTTGCTGTTGACGCATATCCCACGGTAGTTATTGGGGTCAAATTTGTCTCCACTTTTGTAGATTGGGGTGATCAGTCCTTGGTTCCAAATATTGGGGAATATGCCAGAGCAGAGGATGATGGTAAAGAGTTTAAGAATAGCCAATTGGAATTTGTGGTCTGTATATTTTACAGACCATCAACCCCACAGGCCTTTTTGGGTTGGAGGGTTTGTAATTTGTCCTGTAGTTCATTCAACGTAATTTGAGAATCCAGAGGGTTCTAGTAGTCTATAATAGTTGATTCTAATAATTTTTTTGATCATGTATATGTTTTTGCTGTTTGTTCTTTGTGATAGGGCCAAAAAGATTGGAAAAGTTGTTGATCCATACATCTCCGTTTTGGATAGATAACTCTTCATGTTGTTGTTTGTTTAGTTTTCCAATTTTCCCAGAAGTGGTTAGATTCTATGGATTATTTTTGCATAAATTGTTTATTTTTATTTTTATTATTATAATTTTTTTATACTGGCCCCCCGTGGGAATCGAACCCGCAACCCTGGCATTGCAAACGCAATGCTCTACCAACTGAGCTACATCCCTGCCGGCCATTCCCTCCCCTACCCTGGACGACGCTGGGCCAATTGTGCGCTGCCCCATGGGTCTCCCGGTCGCGGCCGGCTACGACAGAGCCTGGATTTGAACCAGGATCTCTAGTGGCACAGCTATTCTTCTCGGGATTCTTCAATTACATTGAGCTGATTTCTGACTTGCTGTTCTTTCTTTTTCCGTAGTGCATTTCTGTATTGTTTTAGTGATTCACCATAGTGAAGGCATAGGCTCAGGTTTTCTGGGTCTCTATGTTTTTGGGTGGATAGCTTTCTCAATTTCTTTTAGGTTTTTGCGTTCTTCATCAAACCATTTGTCATTGTTGTAAATTTTCTAAGGTTGTCTGCTTGATATTTTTTGATTTGATAGGGAAGCTGAGAGGTCAAATATACTGTTTAGGTTTTCTACTGCCAAGTTTACACCTTCACTATTACAGTGAAACATTTTGTCCAGGAAATTGTCTAGAAGGGATTGTTTTTGATGTTGCCAAATAAAAATAAATAAAAAGAAAATATTGTGTTTGGGTAGATTTCCACACTACTTTCCTTCCATCAATAGCATGTCTTATTCAGTTCCTTTGGCTTTGATGCCTCATGATTGAGCATAGCTCTGTTCAAGTAGAGTGTGATTATGCTGTGATCTGATAGGGGTATCAGTGTATTGACTGTGAACGCTCTAAGAGACTCTGGTTTGAGGTCAGTGATAAAGTAGTCTACCGTACTACTGCCAAGACATGAGCTATAGGTGTACCTACCGTAGGAGTCCCCTCGAAGCCTACCATTGACTATGTACATACCCAGCGTCCGACAGAGCTGCAGGAGTTGTGACCCGTTTTTGTTGGTTATGTTGTCGTAGTTGTGTCTAGGGGGGCATATGGGGGAGGGAATGCTGTCACCTCCAGTTAGGTGTTTGTCCCCCTGTGTGCCTAGGGTGTCAGGTTCTTGTCCAGTTTTGGCATACAGGTCACCACAGGCTAGTATTTGTATTTATTAGGGATCCCCATTAGCAGCAGCTACTCTTCCTGGGATCCAAACATATTAAAGCACTTACATTACATATAAAACAAAATATAAAAGTACATCATATGACATTATTACACCACTACCTATCTACAATACAAAATGTTTAATACCACCATACAACAATATCACAATGTGTGCGTATGCATGTGTCTCTTCACAGTCCCCGTTGTTCCATAATTTTTTACATCTGATTCTACTGCTTGCATCAGTTACCTGATGTGGAATATAGTTCCTTGTAGTCATGGCTCTATGTAGTACTCTGCGCCTCCCGTAGTCTGTTCTGGACTTGGGGACTGTGAAGAGACCTCTGGTGGCATGTCTTGTGGGGTATGCATGAGTTTCTGAGCTGTGTGATAGTAGTTTAAACAGACAGCTCGGTACATTCAGCTTGTCAACACCTCTTACAAAAACAAGCAGTGATGAAGTCGATCTCTCTTCCACTCTGAGCCAGGAGAGACTGACATGCATGTCATTAATGTTAGCTCTCCGTGCATTTTTAAGGGCCAGCCGTGCTGCCCTGTTCTGAGCCAACTGCAATTTTCTCAAGTCCCTCTTTGTGGCACCTGACCACACTACAGTAGTCTAGGTGCCACAAAACTAGGGCCTGTAGGACCTGCCTTGTTGATAGTGCTGTTAAGAAGGCAGAGCAGTGCTTAATTATAGACATACTTCTCCCCATCTTAGCTACAATATGCTTTGACCATGACAGTCTACAATCCAGGGTTACTCCAAGCAGTTTAGTCTCCTCAACTTGCTCAATTTCCACATTATTCATTACGAGATGTAGTTGAGGTTTAGGGTTTAGTGAATGATTTGACCCAAATACAATGCTTTTAGTTTTGGAAATATTCAGGATTAATTTATTCCTTGCCACCCATTCTGAAACGAACTGCAACTCTTAGTTATTTCAGTTGCTGTAGTAGCTGATGTGTACAGTGTTGAGTCATCCACATACATAGACACACTGGCTTTACTCAAAGCCAGTGGCATGTCGTTAGTAAAGATGAAAAAAAGCAAGTGGCTTAGACAGCTGCCCTGGGGAATTCCTGATTCTACCTGGATTATGTTTGAGAGGCTTCCATTAAAGAACACCCTCTGTGTTCTGTTAGACAAGTAACTCTTTATCCACATTATAGCAGGGGGTGTAAAGCCATAACACAAGTTTTTCCAGCAGCAGACTATGATTGGTAATGTCAAAAGCCGCACTGAAGTCTAACAAAACAGCCCCCACAATATTTGTATCATCCATTTCTCTCAGCCAATCATCAGTCATTTGTGTAAGTGCTGTGCTTGTT